GCCATGCACCAGGTGTATTACTACTTTCGCTTCTTCCTGCCCGCACCCACTGAACCGGTAAAAAGGGATGTTTCAAAGCTTTTTTATGTACCGCACTGCATGCATAGCCTGGGACTGTGTATACTATAGATTCTCTGCCCCGGACTTGAGGCATGGCCTGGCGTAAGACTCCAGCAGCACAAGTCTCGGCACAAGTACACCAAGAGGAGGTGATATTGCAACAGAGTGAAAAAAAATGAAAGAATTCAGCGAATGGAAACTTAGCAGCTGCACTGCCGCAGCAACTTGACCCTCTGAGGGCCAAAGTGGTAAAGTTAGGCGGAAGGGGTTAATACACACCACCACCCTCGAGGGCCGGGGCACTGCTGGGCAGAGGAGCCACCGTGCAGGGGTAGGCGCGCAGCTCCTCCCCTCCCCTCTAGATCCTGCTCCCAGCGATAGGCGGAGAGTCATTAAAATTATGCAAATTAGATTAAGTTTGCGTAGGCCATTGGAAAATATTCCAACATATTCGAGCGGCAGCCGTTTGGTCTTGAGCCACCTTGAGTGGCGAAACAGATAGAAAATGGAAGTGCGCTGAGCGCAAAGCATCCGGGGGCCAGTGCTCGCAGAGGAAACTCAAAAAGCCTCATGTTATGAGGATTGTACGCAACGAAAAGGGAAATTCTGTTTTTACCGATGATTAGAAACAATTAAGAGTTCAGAACTTCATAGTTTTTTTTGTTGTTTGTTTTGTTTTTAAACAACAGTAGAGTAAGATGCCCAATAATGGCCACCTCAAGATCGATGCGAGGTGATTTGGCTTATAATACCCCGGTAGGAATCTTACTAGAGCATTAGTTCCGTGCCAAGATCGTTAAGTGACGAGTTTGGCAGCAAATCGAGAAAAGTGGCCATCACTGGTAATGGCCATCACTGAGCACCTTACCCTAATACTGCACCCACAAATAATTTTATTTTTAAACGAACTCGTTAGGCTTGTTTCTGCCTCACTCTCATACACGCGCGGCGCCCAGGGAGGGGGGAATTCATTCGCTTATTTTAAAAGAACGCTTTGTGTTGTTAAGAATAGTGTCTCTATTACTATTATTGTGCTTTGTAAAATCAGTGCTTTGTTCAGCGAGTGTGTACGAAACGCCATTTACTCATCACCACGTCTACCAAATGAATTTTTGATCGTTCTTCAGGTGAGCGAGATTTGTTCAGGCCACCAGCCCGGTGTGCGCACGACACACTGCCATACGACACAGGCAACGGGCAGCACGTCATCGCCCGCGGTCGGGCGACGGCCGGCGGGTGAGCGCTGAGC